TAGTAGGTAGTAGGTAGGTAGGTAGTGTGAGGTGAAATTGAGAGAAGAATATAACTTTATCTAAAAAAAATTAAAAAAAATAAAAAAATAAAAATAAAAAAAATCAGTGAGAATCATGCAACGACAACGACAGTAATAGGCAGGGGAGGAGCTCAAGGTCTGTTCATCTGAAGGCCATACTCACACTAAGGGCCTCGTTCCAGTACTCTCGATTTTGTAAGCACGAGAGGAACGGCCTCACTCCACTGAACTCTCGCGTTGACTTTCGGTGGAACGACCGGCTGTAAGTCCTCAGCGCCCCCAGGTGCGAGCCACTTGAGAACGTTTTCCTTGTGCTAGACAATGTAGACATGGCTGGACGAGTTTGCGCGTGGAAGGTAAACAAACAGAAGTTGAGAGAAGAATATAGACAATTGTGATCACCCCAATATAAAAAATAAAAAAAAAGTTTGCGCGTAATCTAACCGACTCGTTTGGTTGCACTTGGGACAGTGTTCGCCCCCCGACTCTTCGCCAAATAGCAACAGGCTCCTCCTGCCTAATAATCCTGTACCTAGACCCGATCCACACCACTTGTTCCTGCAAGAGGGAACTCGCTGAGGGCATCGGGCCGTGAGGAGGAGGAAGCACCGCTTCGCTCGACCATTATGGTGATGCACAGGTTGATTCATCACAGTGTATGGCGAATTAGCGAAGTTGTTCCTGCTGTGGTGCCAACCTACCCTGTGGGCTAGGGAGAGATCCGGGTTGGTTGGTGGTCCCCCCTACTATACATAGACTAGCCAGAGGATGACTCAGAGATGGATGAGTACTTGCAAGAAGATGAGATAGATGAGAGAAGAATATAGCTTACCTTAAAAAAAAAAAAAAAAAAAAAAAAAGGTTGTCCATTGGAGAACTGGCTGGACGGAGTTCGTTGTTGAGTGCAAGGATCAGTTAAGTTTTGCGTCCACCTTGTGGGAGAGAAGTGGGAAAAGGAGGAAGCACCATAAAGTCGTTGGCGTCCCCGAAGGTTCTCTTGAGTTGTCAAAAAAGAAAAAGGAGAAGTTTTGAGTTGTTGCCTCGCGACCGGAAAAGGCGGTATCGAAAGAGACCCAGAGCACGTGACAAGGCCCAAAGGACGGCCTGGAGATCAGATCCGTGGGCGACTCCTGTGCGGCTTTTTTTTTTTTTTTTCCCACGTTACAATACCTGCCTACCACTCCTTTTGTCTTTGGGCCTCGCTCCACTACTCTCGACATGCACAAAAGACAAAAATCATGGCGGTGTATTCCACTACTCTCGTTTTGCACTTTTCGAGAGTGGTGGAGCGAGGGCCTTTTTCTCACCTACATACCACTCTCGTTTTGTCTTTTTTTTGTCATGTTTCCACATGTTCGACTACGGAACCTTGTTACGGACTCAAAAATAGAAAACGTTCATGAAGTTCTCAAAGCAACCCCAGGTCCAATCAAGTTCTCACAGCACCCTGGGGGCCAAGTCCCACTAGCAGCGTTGAGTTTCCTCAATGCCCGAATCTGGACATGTTTGTGGAGATCTGCAGAAAATCACATTCAGTTTCCTCAAACGCACATCTCCTCAAACATGTCCACATTCGGCCCTTGAGGAAACTCAACACTTGTCCGGTAGTGGGACTTGGGGGCTTGGGACTTGGGGGCTTGTTAGACACTCCTCGGGTGCCTAAATCCCCGAGGACAATATGGTTCCACCTATCCTTCGGGACTAAAACGGGAAAAAATTCCACCTATCCTTGGGGACGAAAAAGAGAAAAAAATGTGAAAACAGTTTGTCGGGGATTCCTCGGGGTGTCCTCGGGCAACAGCCATTTGGTGGCCTTGCCCAAGGGACCTCTCGAGGTCCCTCGGAGGTCAAGTTTCCGCGATAATCGGAGCGGCGAGGGCAGCCATCAGCTGGAAGAAATTTCAGTCGGGTGGCCCATTGGAGTACGTACCGGCCACTGCACAGACATCTTGGGTTTAGAACGATCGGTTCCAGGACCTTACGCCAACGGTAACTGTTGGTGGCCGGCGGGGCCCTGCGAACGTCATCGACCAGCGTTCTCCCTCGCAATGCGTTGTGACGAACTATTTTCTGTAATGGCGCGACTTTCTGCACGAAGCTGCCTAGGGATATGAGACGGGTCGGATGGGTGAGTTGCGAAAAGATGGGTCGGACGGGCAAATTGCATGGACGTCCTCGTTTCTTTTCGTTTTCTGCTGGGAGTTGTCGGATTGGTGTCGGGAAAATCCTGTGCCAACGGTCGGGCAGCCGCGCTTTGGCAAGCGGGAGGAACAACTGTACCATAGCTTCTTTCTTGTTCTGCTGTGAGCACAGGGAATTTTGGCGCGATCATCGCGCGGGAATATCGTTTTTGAATTTTCAACTGGTATCAAGCCCCTACGAGCTCGCAGAAGTGTTTTTCCTTTCTACTTTTTCGAAATTTCCTGTTGCAATTAGGATTTAGGCTAGGAATTTAGGTACTCTGAATTTTGTGTGCCGCGCTTGCCCGCATCTTGCTGCGCTGGGAACTGGGCTCTGACTGGATCGCTCCCTTAATCTTGTGTAACTGTCGTTTTTGGTGGGCGCGATTGCAACTGTATCTTTCTTCTTTCTTGGTTTCCCTCATGTTTACCTGCCTTCTCCTTCTTCCTCGCTGCGCATACCCTGTTCTAATTGGCCGGAACGCCTGCATGACAGGATCGATGCGTGGAGTGTGGCTACGACCCCCACGCTGCGGCCTGGCCATGCAGA